TCATCTACTATCCTTCTTAATTCTCTTTCACTTCTTACACAACATTCTTCTATTATCCAACCTGATTTTCTTTTTCCCACTATTCTTGAAATATATTCTAACCCAATATATTATAATATCAAAACTCTACTTAAAAAGCAAACTGACTTGTTCCTTACTAATCTTTCCAACAATCTCTTAAACTAGTTTTACCAGGAAATATGGTTCTAACAGAATTCTCTACAACATCAATGGTAACTAGCTTGCAACATCACACAAAAAGTTAAATATACCAAAATAGCATCACTACTAACCCATAACCAAGCAAATATAAATATATCTCATTCTTATCCAATCAATGCATATAATGCCATTAAAAAATGGTACTTACAAGGATTTTCCTTACTAACATGCTTTTTATAATGCCACGATTATCACCAAAGGGTTTTCTCTAACCTATCCTAGCTAGAATTATTTTACTTAGTAAAACAAATATAGTATTTAAATATTTTATTTTAAAATTATATTATTTTTTTCAAAAACTATATATCACACCTGTGGTATTCAATACCACAATAATTTTGTTTATGAGCTGCAGTGTAATATATAAATCAAAATAATTTTTATTAAAACAAAACTAAAATTTTGATTAAGATTAGAGTTAGGGTTAAAAGCTAAGATAGAGATAGAGCTTAGTTTATACCAAAATTTTGCAAGAAATTTTTTTTGTTAAAACTCAAAAGGTGGTTTTATAAATGAAATTTTGAGCTATACTCTTTTTTTTTAAAAAAACAAAAAATTTATATTACACCTGATCTTTATATTACACTGCAGCTTATAATAAAACTTATTGTGGTGGTAAACACCAGTGGTGTGATTTAACAATGTCAATTTTTTTTATCTAATATATAATATTTATTATTAATTTTAAAAAAACCAAATACATCTTTTAATAGCTTTATATCAATAAAATTCTTACGACCAAAATAATGAAATTTTTTTAATCCTAATTGATGATTATTTTCATCTGATACATTAGCACATTCAATATAGGCAAGCATTATGCTTGCATCATTATATTCATAAACAAAATACCATAAAACTCTACCAAAAAACTGTTTAATTACAAGCCTTTTAGTTTTTTTATTTTGCATAGGTACTTTTAATTTACACTATAAAATATTAAAATAAAATTAATTAAAGAATTAATTTAAAATATAAATATTATTAATTTATGATAAAAATACCATTATACAAGAATTATCTTGTAATATATCTTCATTTCGTAAGGATATTCTTGGTCTAATTATATAACTATCTATAGTATATAAACGTGCATATTTTTTACCATTACATTTTAACTATATAAAAAAATATAATATTATAATTTAAATATAAAAAATACAATATTTATATTATAATTATAAATAACTTACTTGTGTTGCTTGAATATTTGAACTATAACTTTCTTGATACTATTGA